TCCATATAATAAGCAGCGATTGTTGACTCAAATAAAGTAAGTATAACATTAAAAATTATAATCATTACTACCATAAATAGTATCAAATTCAAAAAGAAGTTCTATTACTGAACTGTTTTCTTGAACTCTTCAAGAGGTTTGTATACAAGCTTTATTAGGCTAACAATTCGGCGGGGTCGCCTTGTTCAGAGCCTGGTAAGGTCATGAATTTTCAATTTAAGATCACCTTTTCAAGTGGTTGGCGAGGTATTCCGCTCACATTAGAGGCTTGGCTCTGGGGCGAGGATTAGCACCTGTCTTGGCTATAGCATTTGTGGCCAAGATTAAAGCGCCTGCACTTGAATACCTGCCCTTACTTTACTGCAGGTATATAGACGACTGCTTCATAGTTTGTGCGACAAGGAAGAAGTAGATTGTGTTTTGGCCTGTTGATCTCACAATCAGAGCACATTAAGTTAACATGGGTAAAACCGACCGGGAATTGGCTTCCATTCTTGAACGTTCAAGTAAATGTGCAAGGTGATACGATTGCTGTGAAGTGGTGCAGAAAACCCAGCAATAAAAATATCTTTATCCATCATCACTCAGCTCATCCTTTTTACATGAAGCGAGCGGCTGTTAGGAATATTTTCCGCATCGCTGAGAAGGTTTGCACCGGAGAAGATGAGAGGAAAGAGTCGATTAAAATGGCACGCGTTATTGTTCAGATGAATGGCTACTGCAACTTTACGACTACACGAAGAGCTTCTTCTGGCAACGTGATCCTCAGACTTGGTAGTACCTCAATGGAAGGAAAGATTCTTTTTGTACTACCATTTATCTCTGATGATGTCAGTGCTCCTATTAGGAAGTGTCTAAAGAGATCGGGCTAGAAAAGTGCGGTTGCCATTGCAAACGTACCACCCTTCAATATGAAGAAGCGCCTGGTTCGAAACAGGCTATTCGATCGCCTACGTATAACCTCGAACTGTGCGGTTTGCCCAGATGGCAGGTAGGGTGATAGTACCATGTGTGGGGTGGTACAAGATTACTTGCCGTGATTGTTGTGATGAGTATATGTACTGGTGAAACGGCAAGACCACTCCACGTTGGATTAACGAGTACATTTATGGTATGAAGCGATTGACAGAGTCTACCGTCTTAGAAAGTCACCGAATTCAAAAGCGCAACGGAGACGTTTTTGAGGTCACCGTGGAGGTCGTGGCACAGGAATCGCAACTGTGCAGCGTAAAACTCTCGAGGCATTTGGATACAAGTCACCGATCCAAAAATGAATCGTATGGTAGAATGCCCCGCAATCACGCGAGTGTTGCGGCCATATATAAAGTTGGCCTTCTCGCATGGACTTTGAATGGAGACCTACCCCAGCTGGCACTGGTAGATTGTTATGATCAGTTGTTGGTTTCGAAAAATCCACAGAGCTACGGTGAGTGGTTCTCCTTGATTCACCTGCGTGCCCTAGGGATCTCGAACTTCAGTGTGGCAGTGGAGACGCTTGATCGGGTAGTTACAAATTATCATGATCTTTACAGGCTCTGAAGAAGGCGACTCCGCCGAAACGTTAGCCTAATAAAGCTTGTATACAAACAATTATGCAGAGGTTTGTAGAAAGCCGTACGTTTAAGTTCAATAAAAAGTATTCACTATCTAGATACTAGGTCGGAAAAAGTTGATTCTGACTTGGCTTTATACTAACTTTCCAGCAATACCTCAAGAAGTTCTCCTACAGTAATGCACAAGCAGCCGATCTGTGGAACGTCTTCAACGAAGTTGTCAAGGGTGTTAAGGGTCCTGACGGCAACATCATGAAAATCGACCAATTCACCGATCAGTGGACGTACCAGGTAGAGTTAAAGATTGGATCGATTTCATCCAGCGGCTTCGTGATTGTTATATTTCCTGTGAAAATTCCAGATGGGTTACCCTGTGGTTAAAGTGGAAGAATTCAATGCGACCTCCCTAAAGGTTACGCAGAGTCGGTACAAGACCAATAAAGACGCCTTGGAACCAGAGAAATATCGTAACCCAAAATACGGGTCCGCACCGTTTCATTATTTTTCCGAAGCCGGCATTTAAGCTAGGCTTTTATAACAATTCTCTATCAATCATTTTGTAAACACATCGGTTTGACTTACAGGTTCAAGTGGGATGTTCCCTTATGGTATCAGGAAGGTAACAGCAAAGAGGTGAAGCGAACATGGCTTAAAAGAGGTATGAATTTCTCTAACATCCTTCACCATGCTTTTCAATGAAGTGGCTTTTACTCTACAGATGAACCGTTGTACTTAAACGTCAACAAACGGGATACGTCTCTTGTGGTGAATGCTGATCGACATGGATTTTATCGACAGAACTATGATGCCAGTGGTTGGAAAAAGATAATCAAGCAGCTCAAAGAAAATCACGAGGTAGGAATCGTTGAGTAAAAAGAACTCAATCTATGTAATTCACTGTGTTTTCAAGAAAATAGGGGCCTGTGTCCCATACATATGAGACTTGGCCTTCAGCCCTCCTAGGGTTATTTAGCCATAACATTATCGAGGGCTAGTATCATCATGTAATACCAGTTGTACGAGAGCGAGATTAGCGGTCATAAAAGATGTCGAATAGTACTAATCTATGATTTAGAATACAAACAGAAGGAAACATGGGTTTTGCGATGGCGCCACTTTATCAATGGGAGTTTGGTGATCCGTGCCTACAGGGTTCTGTCATACGGGATGATCACGGTAGAGCTGCTTTATTTGGTCGGAGTTAATTGAAAATCGTCATCCAGTGCTCTCAAACCTGATCCTGATTTGTGGCTTACTTGATTAAGCGCTGAGAATGACCTGATCACTTGTAATCTCTCCCAGCGAGTCAAACAGAAAAAGATACCAGGTATGTAACCAACCTTCCACGGTCCCACAAGCATCGATGTTCCACTCGATCACGTGGATAACAGGAGACAGATGAAGCCTTAGATGGCCGCTAGGTAAAAAATGCAGGGTGATCTGATGGTCCACCACCAGGAACGAGTGCTATAGTTACGACCATGTATTATTTCGGCTTTCAGCTTGGATTTATTACATGTCTCCTTCGTAAAAGCCAAAATGAGGCAATTGGTGGCAGAACCACTACCCTGACGGTCTTCTAGTCGCTTCCTCACAAGGGTAACGATTATAAGACATTGCATAACCGTAGCCGAGGTTTGGAGAAGACCGAACTGGAAACTGTCTTAGTTATTCAACCATCCACATAAAGGAGAAATCCCCTTTTAAAAACCATGCAATAAAGCCCAAGAGAACACGACCTCTCCTCCTCAGGTCTTCGGTCCAAGGACGAGGAACGCTATCATAAGCGATGCATTTGCTGCAGCTACGATTGACGCAATCGACTATGAAACTGTATTTGAACTACTTGAATATGCCAAAAATGAAGAGGTGGGTACTCCTCTTTTGGTTACATATTGTGACTTTGTTCTTTTTTATTTGTTTTGATGAGAACAGCTGCTTTTTTAGGAATTCTTGCCATGGAAAGAAGCTCTGTCCGGCATGTTCGCAGTTTTAAAGTTCTTCGGTAATGAGCCGGAGACAAAACCAGCTAGAGTGAGTTTGAAGTACCAAAACACTTGATGAAATCGTTATTTGAATGCCAGCTTTCAGGCTTACATGATGAGCATATTAGAACCGATGTATAATAAGAGCAGCATTGACTACATCGTCAAGAATTATTTGGATGATACGTTATTCACCAAAATGTAAGGTCTTCTGGCTCAGTATCTCAACATTTTCCCTCGTTCCTACATCTGGTAGGAAAGGAGTCTAATACAAAGAAGGGTACCTCGCTGGTAAACAAAGCAGAGTTACCACTTTCTGCTTTCGGAAGGGTCTGAAAACAGTTCGGACCCTCTTCATGCTTAGGGCGTAATGGGAAATCAAAGGGTGAAGGCGAAAAGATGAGGGGAAAAGGTTGTGTGTGCATTTGCGTACGATGTTGATGAAACAGAGGATTTGGAGGAGTTTTCTCATGCGCAGAAAGGATGAAGGATAAAGCCTTGGGGGGTGAGTTAATCCCAGGGATGCGCCCACGCATTCGACTTCCATTCATAATCGTAATGACGTACTGAATGTGTAGTTTCCCTATACAATGACGTGCGGTGGTTTGCCGATGTACGAGTCTGCTTTTATCCTCCTCAGATTAGTCCGGTACCAATTGAGCGACTCCGGAGTGATGGAGGCCCTTGTCGGCCTAGGCGGATATCTCACTCAAAACGAGAATGACCTTATTTCGCTCTCCTCTTGGAGATTGACTTTTGGTGGTTTCTATGGTTGGCAGATCCTCGTGCATTTTTACTCCCTTGAAATAATTGTTGCTTAGCTCCATGCTGTTGTTCTAAAGCGACCAAAGCGCTTGTCAGACCCTGGGTGGACTGATTGCTAAGGAGGAGAAGACCAGTTGCTGGAGGAGTGGGAAATGAAGAGCTCAAGGTCTGAAGAACTGAGTTCGGCACCGAAACTGTAGTTTTTATTCCCAAAAAGCAAGCGGCTGACACCGGCTGCGTCTACTGGTGATTTAACCATGTTGAGGGAACTTCCGAATTTTCAGGTGCAAGATAGGCTACTCCTGATAGGGATAAGCTGGTTGTTCGCCTACTCTTGAAGGGGCTCCTTTTGCTAATTACGGATTGGGCTTTGCTTATGTGCTCAGAGATTTTAGCCAATTTAATCGAACCGTTTGACTGAGCGAGTTGTGAAAATATCCGTTAGAGCATATATCCCACATTCTCATGAATTTTTAGGAAGCCTTTGAATTTTTTCCTACTGATTCCTATTTTCAGTAATACTCAAAAAGATATCATTGATGCATATTGTTCCCTTGGATCAAAGGACTGTATAAAGCAATATAAGGATATCTTCTACGATGAGGTCATGCCAAAGTGTAAGGCCGGGGAAGCAGCAACCAAATGCGTTAAGTACTGTTTTTTCATTAGTAGATACAACATATCTGGAATTTTTGAGGATTTTTCAAAGATTTTTTCAGGGTTTCCGCTCCTCTTCGAGCCAATGTTTATTGCTATGGTGTACAAGAAGGTGGTGAAGAAGCTTTCGAAAAGGTACTTTGAATTGAATGGGCAACGCGATATGGTGACTACTAGTGCTTTTTTGAAAACATCAATCGTTTCCTCTTTTGCTTCGCAAGTCCCTACACAAATTGGTGCATATAATAATAAGAAATGAGTTTTCAAAATTAATGGGAGGAAAGTATGAACGGGATAGATCAAGATTTCCTCTTTCATGTGCCCATAGTAATAACTCCAT